TATTTTATTAAACAATCTATAAAATTTGAAGAAATAATCTTAAATAAAATAAGGGTAAAATTGTTCATTTTAAAATATTTTTCCCTCACCTCCCCTCATGAACTAAACAAGGTAATATTAAAACTTCTCTCCTCCCCTCCCCTCCCTTTTTATAAATCCAAATAAGATAATATTAAAATTCTTCCATTCTCCTCCCCTCCCCTTCCTTTAATTAAAATCCCTTCCCTCTCTTTCCTCTTATTAAGCCAAACGGACCCTTAAGGAACACGTCAATTAATATGATGCAAATTTTTGCAATGATGGTTATGTGTGTATTGGTTGAGTAAATGATAGATGAATTGATATAGAATAATATTCACTTCCTTATAGTAAGACCCGTTTTAAAGGAAACAAAAAAAATTTATTTAAATTTTCAAGTGGATATTAATTATGACGCAATTTTTTTATGACTCCTTAAGATGTCATTCTTATTGTTTTAGTTATTTGATATTCTGTAATATATATTAAATCATATCTAAGCATTGTTCGACATTATTAGACATGAATTTGTATAATTTTTTCACTTTCAACAAAAATCAAATAATTTAACCTCTTTTTTTTTTTTGCCTTAGTTTAGTGAGGACTTTAAGTCCATCTTATAATAGGAACAAAATCATTGCATCATATCAAGATTTAAGGACAACATAAGACTCATATTGAATCATAATTATGAGGCTCAATTAATTAAAGTGACAATTAAAAATTAATTCAATCAAAGTAGGAGAATATTTTATATAAAAAATAAAACATCCAATAAAAAGTGCTAATGGCTGCTAGCAATCAATTGTAAGTCATTTCATCCAATCCAATTATAACAATAATAATATAATAATAGAAAACTGGAGTATTCTTCTTAAAAATATATTTTGTTGAAGACTTTGACTAAAATAATTGTTAATTATTTATTAAATATATTTGGTTGGTTAGAGGGGAGGGGAGGAGAAATGAGCCCCTCCCCTCATTTGGTTAAAAATTTTAGAGGAGAGGAAAGCCAAAATGTCCTCTCCTCTTCCCTCCCCTTCCTTCTCCCATTCTAGCTCCCTTCCAAATTGGGGGTTTTTTTGGAAGGAAGCTAAATTTTTGGATCATCATACCCTCATAGTTTTTTTAATATTTCACTACTACCTATAAAATATATTATTATAATATTTATTTCAAATAAAAAATATATTATCCTAAGTATAAAAAATATAAATTATTATAATTAAAAATATATTATAACAAAAATTAATAAAAAATAAAAATATTTAAATAAAAATTATAATATTATAAAATTAATTGTTTTTTTTATATTATTTATTAAATATGTTTTAAATCTGAAAAAAAGGATAGCCTAAAGAGAATAAAATTTTATTTTTCTTAGAGCATAAAAATTTGTTAATTTGATTATTTCAAATATATTATTATATTAATTAGAATAAAAATTACTATACCAATTTTTAATACACATATTAGCATGATAAGACTGAGTTTTCATTAAATTATATAATTTAAGTTAAGATGTAAGTTAATTTATATAATATATCAATAAAAAATATAAACTAATATGTAAGGGTAAAATAGTAAATTGATTATTACTATCCCTTCCCTCCTTTTCTTGAACTAAACAAGGGATCATTAAATATCATCCCCTCCCTTCCTTTTTAATTAAACCAAACAAAGTGATAATAAAACCTCCCCTCCTCTCTCTCTCCTACCCTCCCCTCAAACCAAACAGGCTCTAAGGAGAGTGATGTTTCCAGATCTGAGGATTGTTCAGTATCAACTCATCTTTGATCACTGCACTTCTCGTGCTCTGCTAAACCCCTCTAGCTCGTTCTGATCTCAGAATCTCTTCTGTTCTCTCTTCAAAATAGCACTCTAATTTCCCCCGGGGGAAGGTAACAATACATAATATATTTCCTTTTGGCTGTATTTTTGTCTATTTATATTATTATATTAAAGCTCTTCAATGGTGATTTTCAATATTAAGACTTATTCTGTATAACTGGATCTTGTAACTTCTAAAATTAAATATTTCATTTTAAAATTAGCAAGACTTATTTTTTATTTGTTTGGCAACTATTGTGTTCTCTGTTTTCTCTCTTTTATTTTCCTCTTCATCAATTTATTAGATATCATTTTGGCAATAATGATTTTGCATTATCAAAATGTCTTATTTACCTTCTTGCTATATATATATATATATATATATATATTTATATTTATATAATATATATAAATCTGCATGCAATTGTACATATTTTTATATTCTATTTTTTAACGTGCCGTTTCCTTTAGTATTCTCTTTATTATTGTTGAAATCTCGAAACATTTGATAAATACGCATTCTGATATTTTTTGTATAGTTCTAATTATAATGTTGTAGCCATTTGATTTTTATATTGAATACTTTCAATTATAAAAAATTGGGAGTTTCTGGAAGAGGAGAACTGCAAAATGCTTGTTCCTTGCCTACTAAAAAAATAGTTCAAAAGAGAAATGCATATTCCTTGTGATATCAAAAAAATATCATATGAATGGATTAATTTTGATGATCTTATACTTATTACATATTTTCTATTATAATTAAAGCTTTCGCTTGTCTTTTTTTTTTTTTTTTGGTTAACAGGGTTTGTGTTCTTGTGTTTTGATTTGAGATTTCTTTTATTTTCTCCCATTTTACCTATGAAACGACGTTGAAATCTTTTTTTTTTTTTGACAAGGTAAGAATATATTCTAATTTGAATTTTTTTATTTTTATATTGTTTTATGTTTATATTATCATTTTTCTTTTACACACACACACACATCAATTGGAGTATTGTATTATCATTTTTCTTTTACACACACATCAATTGGAGTATTCTTCCAATCATATTTAGCATTTTGATTATGACTTTCATTACAAAAGGATATGCGAAACTGTATGTTTAGTTGCATTTGAATGGAAAAACAAGCGGGCCAGGAAGCTCCATACCTTTTTAGTTATTCATAGTTAGCTGTGTCTTCTCCATGTTTGGCATTTTAAAATTTGTAAAATTAGTAGGACTTGTTTCTCTCAGTTCTTTGGCTACCGGTTTGTTCTTTTTTCCTTCTATTTTTCTCTTCGTCAATTCTTAGATCAATTTTTTAATAATAATAGTTTTGCATGATCATTAGTTCTTATTTTCTTATTTTTATAATTCATGTTGAAATTTGCATGCCATTCAAGATTCTCTTTACTCTGATTGAAATCGCAAGAAATTGCTAAATATACGATATGATTTTTGTAGAGTTTTAATCCAAATATTTATATTGAAATCTCTTTTACATATTTCTGATTGACAGGATTTGCATTCCTGTGTTCTGGTTTGAGAATCTCTTTTATTTCCTCTTGGTTCAACACTGAAATCTGGAAAAAAAAAAAAGAAGTAAGGATGTATTTTTATTTGATTGAGTCTATTTCTGTTATTTTTATATTGTGTTTATATGTTTTTATTACTATTTTCCTAACACACACGTATTTATATACGAATATGGCATTGCATGATCCAATATATTTTTTAAAAAGAAGAAGAAGTACCTGATATAACATTTTGAATTTTGGACTTAGAAACATAAAAAATAACCTGAAATGAGCAAGTTACTGGACCTTAATTGAGATGAGTCTCAAAAGCTCCCTAAAAAGATAGAAGGATTTTCAAGGATCAAATGACAAAGAGAGAGTTTGTTGGGACCAAGAAATGAGAAAGATGAAGACTCTGATGAAGTCTCGAGAGCTGTTTACAGGAAATTGAGATGAATATAGACTAGAAGTCATTATAATAGAGACCTTGATGAGATAGTTTCTAAGACTAAATATTAGCAGTGACGTTATCGTAATTTTAATAAATTTTAGGATGTTACACTTTACTAGGGAAAAAAAGTAAATATGATATTCTGAAACCTGTTAAATTGTGGGTGCATAACTCTATGTTCTCACTTTCGAGTTCATCAATTGCTTTCTTCTACCAAATGAAACCAGAAAGGGAAAAAAAAAGGTTAGGATATACGATAATCTTAATTTTATTCTTATGTTAATATGGGTAACACACACATAATACTATTAAGCCAATTCAATTAAAGAAAACCTTGTTTGAAAATTTTATTTCCAACTTTTTAGTAAATGTTTTTTTTAATAAAAAGGATAATATACTAACACAAATAATCCATGACCGTAGACACTCGACTACACATTTGCCACGTCATGACAGCGTTAGACCGGGAAGGTCTAGTTTGTGGACACATATATATTGCGTCTTATAAAAATATTGATATTTCTGGATTGTAGTTTTAAATATTTGTTAAGTTAATATAAAGGTAAAGTCTATACCGTAATTACTAAAGAGACAACATATATTTATAATCAATATATTATAAAAATCATATATTTTTAAATTTTATATGTTTTAAATTTTATAAGAAATCTAAATTTTATATATTTATCATTTTTAAATCATATTTTTGTTTATCAATTAGGATAGAAGCATTAGAGCACTCCAATAGAATTTCTCCACTTGAGAGCAAAACCATGATCACGTTTTCTTCTTTACTGGTAGAAGTTTTACCCAAATCTAGGAATGAATACCAAAAACATAAAAATATTTCAACTTATATATATTTTTTAGAATATTAAAAGTAATTTTTAGCCTCTAATTTTATGGGGTTTCAAATTTTAATGTAGTCCAAATGACCTCCGATTTAAAACCACTACGCAAATCCAGCTTCAAAATGCATTCATTGAGTCATAACATATGACCTATAGTGAATTTCTTTCAGGATTCATCTTCATGTATTTTACTTTCTAAGATGATTATACTAAATACAAAATTAGTATATATTTTTCTCCTTTTTTAGTTAGTCTCCTTTATTTTTCATCTTATTAAAATCATTATGCTTGTATTTCACAACTTAAATCAAGATAGAAAGATAGAATAACATTAACTTTATTTCCATGTTAGATGAAGAGCATCGCTCCTAACTTTATAGAGAAGGCAACCCAAAGTTTAGTGGAATCGGTGAAAAATGAAGCTCAATATTTATGTTGCTTCAATAGTTATGTTCAAGAATATGAGCATGCAAAGGAAAGATTGAATGCAAAACTTGAAGATCTAAGGAGAATAATTGATCAAGCAAGAGGTGTTTCTCATATCACATTTGTTGCCCTACAATGGACACGTGAAGCTGAAGAACTCATTGATGTTGACATTAAGAAAGAGAAATGCCTTCATGACTTGTGTCTTAATTGCTGGCATCAATATCAGAAAGGCAAAGACTTGGTGAAGCGGACTCTAGATATTGACAAACTTCTAGAGAGATGTAACTCTGACATAGTAGCAAGTCCAATTGATCTTCCAGGTATAAAATACCATTGCTTACCAAATTTCTTACATTTTGAGAGCAGAAAGTCAACATTTGAAGAACTTAAAAAGGCACTAGAAGATGAAGAAAACAATATGATTGGACTGGAAGGCTTAGGGGGAACAGGCAAAACCTCAATGGCAAAGGAAGTGGGTGTTGAATTAGAAGGATCCACGTTCGGAAAAGTCATCTTTCTTGTTGTCTCTAAGCTTCCAGATTTCAAAAAGCTTCGAGGTGAAATTGCTAGGAATTTGGATTTGAAATTAGAGAATGGAATGGAAGAAGTACCCCATCACAAAATATTGGCCAAAATCAAAGCATTAAAAGAAAAACTTCTTATAGTACTAGATGATGTGTGGATGGAGTTTGATCCCACAAAAGAGTTGGGGATTCCTCCTCCCCACCTGCAGAAGGGTTGTACTATATTGATAACCACCCGGATTGAAGAGATTTGTACAAAGATGGATTGCCAAAGAAACATTCATCTAGATGCATTGACCGATAAGGACGCATTGTCTCTTTTCCTCAAGCATACTAGTAGTTCCTCTAATTTGGAGAGTTTGCCACTTATTGTGGAGCACTGCCATGGAGTACCAGTTGTAATTGTTGCTGTAGCAAGATCATTAAAAGGTCGACCTTCTAGAGTTTGGAAGGAAGCCTTGAGGAACTTGCAAAGCGGTGAGCCAATATTTAAGGTTCGTGATGATGATTTAAAAGGGGTCTATGAAGGTTTGAAGTTGAGCTATGATAATTTGAAAAATGAAAAAGCCAAAAAGCTCTTGTTGATATCTTCCCTATTCCCTGAAGATTTTAAGATTCCTATTGAGTTTTTAATCAAAATTGGTGTAGGAATGGACCATTTTGGGGAAGTTGATAACTACAATGAAAGAAGAAGAAAAGTACTTGATGCTATAGCGGAACTCCTAGGTTCTTCTTTATTATTGGATGCGGGGAGGGAATGTGTAAAGATGCATGATTTAGTTCATGAAGTAGCCTTATTAATAGGAGAAAAGGATGTTCAATCTGTCATTGAATCTAAACAGCCTAAAAAGGGCTTGCAATGTTTATTTTGGAAAAGCAATTCTTTTCCAAGATACTTTGATGGTAGAAACCTTGAGGTTTTACTTTGGGTTCTAGATGACTTAGAGGATTTGGAAGTCCACGATACATTCTTCACAGAGATGAAAAAGCTCAAAGTTTGGTTTCTATGGAGTGAAGCTCTCTATCAAATTTCAGCTCCATCACTATTTTCATCAATTCAGTCATTTCAAAATATTCAAACTCTCAAGATAGGAAATTTTGCATTATGCGACAGCATCTCTATGTTGGGAAGGTTACCAAATCTTGAGAGTCTGTGGTTTGATCATTGTTTAATTATTAAATCACCTGGAGAAAATTTTGAGCTAGAGAAGTTGAGATTCTTAGGGATAGAAAATTGTGATATCAATATGAGTAATCCTTTTGAACTGATTGAAGCATGCCCAAAGCTAGAGGAGCTGACTTTTTTGAGAAATCTGTATGATGAGAAGGAAATAGAAAATA